GTGGCCTCTCCCATTTGCGGAGCACAGGCTCCGGACGCGCAGGCCCAGCGGCCACGGCCCACGGGCCCAGCCGCTCCGCGGCATGTGGGATCCTCCCGAAACGGGGCACGAACCCGCGTCTCCTGCATCGGCAGGCGGACTCTCAACCACTGCGCCACCAGGGAAGCCCTAGAAAAATTTTTTACCATACTATTCAACCCCACTTCCTCCTCCAACACAGTATCACCGTATGGAGTCAACACTGTAGACTATGCCTTGCACGTTCTCCACTAGCTCTCCTCATTTCTATAAACCATTATATGTATCCCATGAAGCTGTATAAAAGGAAGGCACTGCTTGAAAAACCACAAATCTGAAAATTTCAACCACTTTCCAGAGCTACCATTTTTCCATGCTTCTTTCGTAGCATGAAAAAATTTTAGCCATAAAAAAAGACTAAATCTATAATTTGTCTACAACTCATGCGATCAACAACATGCAAAAATTACTATTAAAGTGTCAATAATACAAATTTAAATGTGACTTAAGCATTTTACTGAAAAATATGAGTTTTCTTTTAATTACATAATTACATTTTTCTAATGGTAGCTACTCAGTACTTGCTCAAAATGCCAACTTACCTTAATCATCCTAAGGTATATGTGCAAGGAAGCAGCCATGACCCCAACATCTCTGTCACAAAGTGCTTTCCGAAACTTAATATGGATATGCTGTACTTGATTAGGAGCGATGAGATAGAATTTATATAATGCTAGGACAGCTTTTCTTCGTATAATCTCCCTAAAGATAAAAAATAAAATCTAAATAAACCATCTGAATTATCAGGCATTTATTAGTTTGAAAAGATTATGGACCAGATGATTGTAAAATACCAGCTGTTACCTGAAGCTAAAAAGAAAGAATTATACATTTATTATTAATTTTTTATTCTAATCTACCAAACTATAAAAGTAGTTATCTCTAGGAGGTAAGACCTCAAGAGACTTTAACTGTCCATGTTATATATTTCTCTAGTTATAAAATTTTTTGGTAACAAGCATATATTACTTTTGAAACCAAAACAAACCATGAAAGATAAATTCCTTAATTCCATAATTCCAGTTTTGAAAGCCATATCTCTAGAAATTGGGAAAAGGATCAACAGTAAATTTAAATGAGAGGTAATTTCTGCCGATTAACATTAAACAGTCTCTTCATCAATATTAAAAGTCTCCTTAACATCCTAGCTTTTCATATTTCTTTTTTTACATCATGGGCAAACATACTCCAAATACTTGGGGGGGGGGCAGGGGAGTATAAGGGGGACTTACATTAAAAGATGTTACTCCTCTCCTTGCCCAGCTCATGTTTCAAAAACCTCATTACAATGAAGAGGAAAGTATACACAAGTCTTGCACTTCATTTGTAACAGATAATGTCTAGCACACAAGAAGCAAAAAAAAAAAGTTGCTATCCTATGAACATAATGTGGTTTCCAAGGAATTATATTCTTTGTTTTTGTCTCTTATGCCTATTTCCACATAGTTCATATTTGCAGACTATGCTGGCAATGCCCACAACAGCAGTACAGAAGTATTTATTTTCAGGGTTCCTTAATATGTATTTCTGTTACCTAAAATCACAGAATCTCAAAATTGAGATTATTCAATGCAATCCTCTGTGTTCCACTCAATACTTTTTATAAGATTCCTAACAAATGGCCACCCAGCCTCTGCATTAACAAGCAACCTACTATCTTCCTAGGTAAACTATGTCATGCTGGAAAATTCTTTTCACATAAAAATAAAAGCAGATTAACAAGAGATTTGCCATTAGTATTAATACTACAGCAACTGTAAACTATATCCCAATGTATTGCTATTGGGCATTAACCAATATGAGTTCCAGGAGAGAGTAAGTAAATGAGGTGAGGAAAAAGAATACAAACTCTGAACAGGCTCAGGAATCCCTAGGTCTGGCCCAAAGTGGTGGCAATAACACAAGATATCAAAAAACCTGGATTCGGGCTGTGAGTCTGGCGTGCTGAAATATAACCAGGGATTCAAAAGTCGAGTCCAAGCCCTGTCTCATAGCTTCGTTGTGATATCTACTGGCTTATCTGTAGCTCTGTCCCACAGCTCTGTCTTTAGCTCTTTACTCCATAGCATGGAGTTAGGTATGGCCATAATTGTAAAAGCAGAGTTTCAGAAAGTCTAAACTCTAACTGGTAGAAGACAGGAAAGGCCAGGACTTGAAATGACAGTAGATGGGAAGCAATAAGGAAAAAACTGAAAGGGTAAGTGGGAAGAAACAAGGAAAAAATTCAATTCTTTGAAAGATTTCATACAAAGGATAAGTATGGCTACCACAAAACAGTGGTGGTATGGAAAAATTTCATAAAAATATGCTCTGCTATGATCATATCAACCTCTAATTATCTAAGAAAGGCTAATATTTTATTTCCAGTAATTAATTTTCCATACCCATCATTTGTTCTAAACATAGATCTGATATAAACAAAATATTACAAGTCTGAAAAATCTCTGAAGTTATTCCATAATTCTTAGAAAAAGCTATCATTTTTAGCTGAAATATTCATGGTCCGAGATTTAAAGAACACAAACCATAAAACAACATTTTAAAATCTTAGAACACTAAAAATACTGACTTAAGCATATGAAATATTACATAACAAAAGAAATCTTTATCAAAAATGTATATATAACTAAAATACTGCAATCACAAAGGAAAAATGGCAAGTGACTATAAACTTTTCCCTAACTTTAAAGATTATGAAGTTAAGGGGCTTGGTCAAAAACAGAATAATTCCAAATGTGGTGAAAAAGTAATCAAGTTGAGAAGGAGAGAGTTAAGGAATCATACAAGATTAGCAAAGTACTACAAGTTAAGGTTCATTTGGATATATTCTGCTATAAAACAGAATTTGAAAGCTGCAGTTTTGATATAAAGCATCCCCAATACATTGAAGGTCTATGTTCATAGCACTTGAACCATTTCCATATGTTTTCCATTACTTCACTTTATCCTCAAAACAACTCTGTGAGAACTAAGATCTTCAACCAACCCCATATAGCCAAAAGAAAAACAGGACCCCTGACGGTTAGCAGAAGTGGGAAGAAAGCCAAGGATTCCTGATGCTAAGCCTCACTGACTCTCAGTTTAACTTTAGAAAGTTGCCTAACATTTTTCTAAACCCACATAAAAATAAAGGACAATAAAGGACAAATATCAGGGATTTTTGCATTATATCTGGCAGTCAAAGAATATCCTCTATCCTGGTAGCATTAAGTTAAAGTTAGAATAAACTTCTGAGTATAAATTTTCCTTTTGAAATACATAGTGTAGACACCTATCCAAAAAGAATTTACTTACTTAGAATGTTGAAGTTTATCTTCTATTAATGGAAGAACAGCTGGAATCATTTCTTGAGGGAAAATCTGGCTGACGATAGTAAGTGCCATACATACTTCTACTAGGTTAGTGCTCTGCAAGTCCTAACATTATTAAGCAAAGAAAACATTCAGTGCAAATTCTGAATGTAGGGACATTGAGCTCAACATTGCAATGGTCCTACACACTTAATAGTTTTCTACTAACTTTTTAAATTAATTTGTACATTTAGGCTTACCTCATATTTTATAGGAATATCCCTGTTTCATTTGCCTTAATAGAGTCAATAAAGATAGCCAAAAGGCAACTGATCTAAAGGAGACTGTATTTCTGTCCTGACAATGACCAAAGTAATCTTCCTTATTACAGCCTTTAAAACTTTTCTAAACTAGTAACAGAATAATTTTATGAATTCTTCTTGTTAATCAACAATATGAGTGAAGTTTAAAAGGAAGCAATTCTTGAATATATACGATAAAATGCATGCATTCATATATACTTACATAAGCACAAAGTTTACAAACCGTTCTAATAGAACCCAAAACTACATTTTTGAAAGTTTGCAAAAGTTTAAGCTACTAGTAAACTTAAGAGAGTATATAACTTAATTCAGAAAGTATTGATACTACACACCCACACACACACTCTCTCTCTCACATATCAAAAGACTGAAACAAGATAAACATGAAAAAGCTCAACAATTCAATTATACTTCATTACCAATTTTGTTTAAACGTTTAACAGGAAACAATACTGTGTATGGATTAAATTGTGTTTTTATTATCTGTACATTTCAGTTACCCAATTAAACTCTGTTCTTTAAACTGACTTTCAGAATTTAAAAGACTTCAATTATTCAGTTTATATCACATCCCTTTAAAACAGATCCTAGAGAAAAAGACAAGAGCATGGAAGATGCATCTGACTAAGAGTCTGGAGATCTGAGTTATAATTCCAACTCTGCTTTTTTTTAATGTATTCTTTTACTGAAGTATACTTATTTATAATATTGTATTAGTTTCAGGTGTACAGCACAGTGATTTAGTATTTTTGCAGATTATACTCCACTATAGGTTATTACAAGATAAATGGGTATAATTCCCTATGCTGTCCTTGTTGTTTATCTATTTTAAATATAGTAGTTTGTTATCTATTAATCCCATACTCCTAATTTGTCCCTCCCTCTCTCCCCTTTGGTAACCACAAGTTTCTTTTCTATGTCTGTGAGCTTGTTTCTGTTTTGCATATACATTCATTTGTATTATTTTTTAGATTCTATATATAAGTGGTATCATATAGTACTTGTCCTTCTCTGACTTATTTACTAATATTTAATTTCAATAGTATTCTCTAGGTCCATCCACACTGCTGCAAATGGCAGTATTTCATTCTTTTTTGTGGCTGAATAATATTCCATTGTGTATATATACCACGTTTTCTTAATCCAGTTGGCTGCTAATGGGCACTTGGGTTGCTTCCATGTCTTGGCTACTGTAAATAGTGCTGTTATGAACACTGGGGTTATGTATCTTTTTTAATTAGTGTCTTCATTTTTTCCAGATATATACCCAGGAGTGAAATTGCTGGATCATATGGTAGTTCTATTTTTAGTTTTTTAAAGAACCTCCATACTGTTTTCCACAGTAGCTGACCAATTTACATTCCCACCAACCATGTACAAAGGTTCCCTTTTCTCCACATCCTCACTAACATTTGCTGTTCACAGACTTTTTCATGATAGCCATTCTCAGTGAGGTGATACCTCATTGTGGTTTTGATTTGCATTTCTCTAATTAGTGATGTTGAGCATCTTTTCATTGCCTGTTAGTATCGACATGTCTTCTTTGGAAAAATGTCTATTCAGGTCTTCTGCCCATTTTTTCATAGGGTTGTTTGTTTTTTTTGATATTGAGTTGCATAAGCTGTTTGTATATTTTGAATATTAATCCCTAGTCGGTCCCATGATTTGCAAATATTTTCTCCCATTTCATAGGTTGTCTTTTCATTTTGTCAATTATTTCCTTTGCTATGCAAAAGCTTTTAAGCTTAATTAGGTCCCATTTGTTTATTTTTGCTTTTATTTCTTCTGCCTTAGGAGACTGATCCAAGAAAATATTGCTACAATTTATGTCAGTGTTCCACCTACGTTCTCTTCTAGGAGTTTTATGGTTTCAGGTCTTACATGTAGGTCTTTAGACCATTTTGAGTTTAGTTTCGTTAACTCTGCTTTTTTAAATGAAACAATAATAACAGCAGCAGTAGCAACTATTATTCTCTACAGTGTTTCATTTAACCCTAACAACTTGGTTAAGTTCTATTATTATCCGCTTTTTACAGATGCCGAAACTGATATAAAAGATCTTTCTAAGTCCATTCTATAAGCCTACCTTCTTTGAAAAAATACCTAATTTAATATGATTGATGAGAAACGTCAGATGCCTGAAGGAATAATTTAAGACTTCATATTAAGCAGCATACAATACAATACCTTTACAACTGTATTCACAAGGAGAAGCAACAGTTCATGACTTTCATGTAGAAATAAAGAAACAGCCAAATAACCTATAAAATTTGAGAGGGAAAGTCTCATAATTACCTGCCAAAAATTAACATTTCCCAAGAAGTTAAACAAAGCAATAATATATTCAAAAATTTAAGTGTCAAAGATACCAGTTACAGGTAAATATAAAAACAAATAGTAAAATAACAAGGTTCAAAAAATTCAGTAAGGAAGATTTCAGATGTTCTTCATCCTGAAGTCTTTCACAATTAGGTATTTCACAGAATATAACTGAAATGGAAAAGAGGCTATGTGCACCAACTTAAAGTCCTGTAAATGACATTAGGAATATATGCCTTCTTTCTGTGCAAATCTCTACACAATCAATCAATACATTTTCTGTCTTGTAGCCAAATATAATTATTCAAAAACTAATAGCTACTACAGTTAATAAATAGTGAGTTACTAGCTATTTGTATTACTTAATGAGCTACCTGATACCAATCCATATGACGTAAATCATCTATTAGCCATAAACAATACCTTATTTTCTCAATTTGACGATAAACTATTGAATGAATAGAAGTTGTTGAGGAAAGAAACAATGTCTACCACATTAAATGTACTCATTTACTTAAGTACTTTTATTTTAATAATATCAAAACATTAAAAAATACAACTTAAATACAACTTAATACTCTGACAAATACCATGTGCATGGAATCTAGATGCTCCATGTCATCTTCCTGTCACCCTTAATATCGATAACATTTGTTAGACAGTTACTGTGGGTTAAGTACATTACAAGCCTCACCTCATTTAATCCTCACAACAACTCTATGAGGTAGATATTATTATTATCCCCAATATAATAATGAGACCCCAAAAGGATAACTGCCCAAGGTCTACAGCTACTACATGGTGGAGCCAAGACTGCAACCCAGCCAGTAGGAGTTAGTTCATGTTTTTAACCCCTATGCTATTCTGTCTCTCACACAGTCTACTTTGAGACCTCATTCCCTGACTCCCATCCCCATTGTTTTTCATTCTTCTCAATTCTTCCAGCCTTTTTATTAGGAATCCTAGTGTTACCTATCCCTATTACTACCCAGCAACCATACTGTGTCTGTTGGGGAAGATGGGAAAACTGTTAAAAATTTCCTGTTCTCATAACCAAGGAGTAGCAGCATGACCCACTGCAACATCTTCACTGAAGGTCAGAGGAGCAGAGCTATCACTCCCACAATCAGGAGAGAAAAAAAAGAACAAACCAGGACCAGGAAAGAGAAAGACCCTAGACAGCATTTAAAGCAGAAATTAGGTCTTATCAGATTACATCTGTTCAGCTAAGATATCACCTCCTCTCAAGTCACCAATATCAAGATACAAGAAGATCAACAAACTAATCCAAAGACCACCTCAAAACCTTATGAAATCTTAATTCTATCTGTTAAAAAGAATATCCTGTTTTGACAATCAGGGAAAACAAGGAAACTGTTTTGATAATCAGGAAACAGGGAAAAAGATATTCTGTGATTCAAAAAATTTTAAAGGTTTCAGGAAAACAAAGAATAACAACTATGATTATAGAATACATTTGATAGGACTAAGAGTGAGGTACAGGATAGGAATACAGGCTTTGACTCAAAGAAACTTGGGTTTATATTCTGGCTTCACCATTTAGTAGCTCTATGACCTTGGAAAATTGACTTGACCTTTCTGAGCTTCAGTTTTCTCCTCTGTCAAACGAAATAACATCTCACAAGATAAAGCACCTAACATAATTCCTGACTTAGTGGGTACTGAGATTTATTTACTCAGCAGTATTCATGTGAAAAATAAGAATGCATTATCCATCAGAGAAAGCACCAAACTAACCTTAGAAATCTCAGGAGAGTAGATGAGGCAACGGTACTGGAGTAAAGGCATAAAAAATTTAAATGCTATCTTAAAAAAAACTTCCACTCATTAGCACACATAAAGAATATCTGATACCCACATACACGTCTTTCTAGGTGTCAATAAAATACTTTCCTAAGGAAGATCATGAATCTCAGTAAAAATGACTGTGAGGTTTCCTTAGTCACTGTAACTAGGAAATAACCCACATACAAGGTCCTTCACTGCAATATTATTTATTAGAGCAAAAAATAAAAACTACCCAGATATCCACCAAAAGGGACCTAGATGAAAATACTACAGTACATCCATCCGCCCACTGAAAACTATGCAATTGTATAAAAGTATAAAGATGTCAAAACAAGGTGTGCAGTAATCTCTGTAGCATGCTATCTTCTGTGTAAGAGAGAGTATTGGAGTGTGTACCCATGAATTTGCTTGTTTTTTCAAGATGAAACAATGGAAAGATTAATCAGAAACTAATGAAAATAGTTACCCATGGGGTAAGGGGGAAAGCTGGTAGAGGGGTTAGAGATAAATATGAAATTTCTCTGACTATACCTTTTTATCAGGTCTTAACTTTTGGACCATGTATAAATTACAAATTACATATGTAATTTTTACATATTTTAAAAATAAAATTTAGGGAATTCCCTGGCAATCCAGTGGTTAGGACTCAGTGCTTTCAACTGCCATAGCCTGGGTTCAACCACTGGTCAGGGAACTAAGATCCCACAAGCCGCGTGGCATGGCCAAAAAAACCAATAAAATAATAAAAATAAAAATAAAATTTAATTGAAAGTGGAAAAATTACATTAAAGTCTAAAAAGCAAAATACAGCAACAGATGTACAAAGTATAGACTATCTATTGTTTTCTAAATTTCCTGTTGTTAGGGATCTCAGAATTAGTTTGGAAAAGACATGAAAAGACAAACACTGTAAGACAACAGATGGTAGGAACCCCCTGAGAGATCACAGAAGAGTTAAAACTTGGTTTGGAACACAGAAAGGGAGAGACAGGATGCCAGAGGACACTCTACTTGGAGGGAAGAATGTAACAAATCTAGAAGACAAAAGAGTATTTTCGGTGGAGTGAGATTCAACAAGTGGAACAGTGTGTTCATATAGTCTCAGAGTCTTTACCAAGACATCTCCCCCGCCGTACCCATCATCTGACAGCACAGGTCAATATAACTTGAGAAGAATGTTGGTCCCTGACAACATGACACTATCGACTTCTTTGAATAAAGAACATGTTCTACTACTGTATTATTCCAAAGTGCTTCCTTCTTAAGTTTCTGATATAAAGCTGTACATATATGAATACAAGATTTAAGTCCTTGTTTTCCTAATAGACTTAAAGGTTGATTATAGAAACAAAATTTTTTAAAAGATACCTCAAATCCTCATAGTTAACAATTTTGAAACTAGGAGCAGGATACCGAAAATTATTCAAGTCAATTTCAGTTTTTATCTATTAAAAAAAAATCATCCCTTATCATTAAACTGATGAGGTTATAGAGACTTTTTAAAATCAGCTTTACTGAGGTATAATTTACATATAAGAAAATTCACCCTTTTAAGTATATAGTTCAATGAGTTTTGACAAAGTCATCTAACCACCATCACAAGAACAGGCAATTTTTCATCTTTTCTATAACTCCAAAACGTTATGAATCAGGAAAATTGATTCCATTTTAGGCTGTGAGTTTTTGAAGTGTTATCTTTTAAAGCTTTGGAAATCACAAGGCAGTGTTCTAAAAACATACTACACACCTGCCATCATTCACTTTATATAATAGCCAGAACTTTAAGGACAACATTAAGTGCAAAAGTCTTAAACACATACATACCTACTCTTTTCTCTAAAAGGTTTCCTTGTTGTGCCAACTTGATTGCATGTATGTAACCAAAGGAAGCATCATATCCAAGCATTTCACAATATATAAGTCTCACCATACATTCCTTCATCATTTTCTGAAAAACAAAATATCCAGTAACAGTATAAATAAATAGAATGCTTTGACTTTTTTTTTAGTATGTTGTAATCATTTAATAGGAGAGTTCTTTAATCCTGGCACTGAAGAAATAACATATATAAATTAATCACCCAAAGTCAGACTTTATAAATAAAGAGTTTCTCCCAAATTTAACTACCAACAGTACACATTTTAGTCAAATTATCTCAATATTTTGTTACTGGCAACAATACAAAATAAATCAAACGTAGCTATTTCTAATTCTAGGTATCCCTCGCATAAAATTTGGTTATAATGTGAGACACGTGGTCCTCAGACAAAATTTCACTCGTGGTACTCTAACGTGGCTTCTAGAATGTAGCACATCATTTTAATATACTTTGTCAAATGAAAGCATCCATAGAGTTCCCACAAGTTGGTAATAATTTCTGTAATGAAAATATTTTTCACACTTAAAGACTAAATTGCACCTGGAGTTTCTTCAGAATTACTGTGCTATAATAGGTGATAGTTTGTTTTATAAGCATTACTTTTTCAACGATTCTCACAACTATTATGATTTCATTAATGGTATAATCATTCCACTATTTAACTTAACTGGATCTTTCAATATTTACAACACGAGCTAATAACTTGTTTTAAGAGATTCTATAAATCTGTTTTCTTAGTATGAGAATATCTGCATCAATATTTATAGCAAATTTTAACCAACAATTTAAAATATAAGTGTGTTTCAAAATAAGAAAAACTCAGACTATATTAATATCTAAAAATTAATTAGGGTTAATATATTACAGGATTATTGAATCAAAAAAGGCTTAAGAGGGGCTTCCCTGGTGGCGCAGTGGTTGAGAGTCCGCCTGCCAATGCAGGGGACACGGGTTCGTGCTCCGGTCTGGGAAGATCCCACATGCCGCGGACCCGTGAGCCATGGCCGCTGAGCCTGCGTGTCCGGAGCCTGTGCTCCGCAACGGGAGAGGCCACAACAGTGAGAGGCCCACGTACCGCAAAAAAAAAAAAAAAAAAAGCTTAAGAAACAGTAAAATAAAATGTTTTAAAGTAAGAATAACATTTAATATTTCATATATATTATATACAGAGAAATTTTATATATATATATACATATATATATATACACACATGTACATGTAAATATGAAGAATTTAAAAATAAACCATAGGAAAATCTTAAGGGAATAATGTTTAATGATTTAATTTAGGTCCCTTGTGTTTAATAAAAGTTAATCCATCAGCACATTAATTAAAACTACTAAACACTGAGAAAACAAGCTTAAAGTATACTGGAAGCCTCTTCAGAGGCTTCTACATCAATGAGGAGTGAAAGTGTTCATTTAAGCCATTAAGTATCAACCCTGGTTTTGTAACATTTTATCTCATAGTTTTTCAAAAGTCATTATGGACTTTGTTTAAGTAAAATTCTATTGCATTTACATTATTATCCTCTTATTTTTGGAGAAGAAAATGCTTTTCCCAATGCAGGAATTCACTCTGGAAAATTTCTTTAACAAATTATAATCCAACTTCTACATGACCACCTCAGGGACAGACTATTCTGTAAAGTATGCCCAGAGTTGGATGGCCATAAATGTTATAAAATCTTCCTTCAAACTCTGGCTCCCTAACGTCTACCTACTTATCTAAATTCTGTCAACACCAGGATTATGCCTGGTAACATGAAAACTGTATTTACTGATGCCAATAATAGAAAATGGAAATCAAACTAAATGAAAAGAGAGAAGCCATTTCTCTGTAACATTTCTATCAAGTATCATAACACAACAGTGATTTTATACATACACATAAAAACATATACATATCTATACATACACATACATATACACATACACGCATAGATCACATTAACTATGCTTTGAGTTTCATTTGTCCACATATTATTATGACCATAAAAGGAAATATATACATTCTCTCAGACTTTACAAGTGTTATTCACATACATAATCATGTATTCATGCAAAATGATCACCACAATATTTTTATTAGAAGTGTATTCCACAGCAACTTACACAAAGAAGGCACTCACAAAATATTTGCTGAATAAACGTTGCTTGGAAAAATCTCATTATCTGAAACCACATAAAAATTAAAAGAAAAAAAATGTAGGCCTTAATCTAACTATGTAGGGACAGTCCGACAGTCCTACAGTGGTCTGCATATGGTGGTCACAGCTTAAATAGTTGCTGAATGAATGCTGTTTGAAAATCAAATTATATGGAACCAAGTTTTTAAAAACTAGATCCTGATCTAGCTATTGTGCAATATACTCAGTTTTACAGCAAGAAAATCACTTTTCTACCTTGTCAGCCAACCTATATTCCAAGATATAACAGTAAAATGAGAGATTTACAATATATCAATTCAGGTCTGAAAATACTATTTTATTTTTTACTTTTTTTTTTTGGCTACGTTGAGTCTGTTGCTGTGCATGGGCTTTCTCTAGTTGCAGTGAGTGGGGGCTACTCTTTGATGCGGTGCGCAGGCTTCTCATTGCAGTGGCTTCTCTTGTTGCAGAGCACAGGCTCTAGGTGCGCAGGCTTCAGTAGCTGCAGCACGCAGGCTCAGTAGTTGCAGCACGTGGGCCCTAGAGCACGTGGGCTCAGTAGTTGCGGTGTGCAGGCTCTAAGGCATGCAGGCCTCAGTATTTGTGGCGCACGGGCTTAGCTGCTCCATGGCATGTGGGATCCTCCCAGACCAGGGATGGAACCCATGTCCCCTCCATTAGCAGGCAGACTCCCAACCACTGAGCCACCTGTGAAGTCCCCTGAAAATATGATTTTAAATGATGTGTCCTAACCTTCTCCCAGTGCACAATATTAAAACAATAAGATCAGCCTTGGGGTCCCAGGAGTCCCACATTTATGTAACTATCATTAGGTTGGCACTGAACTGACAACAGTCAAGCAAGTCTTGCTCTGGTGCAGCCAGTCAGAAATAAAAGGCTAAAATTAATGTCTGACTTGTTACCATCCATAACTGATCTTGACTGTGATAAATTAGATTTTAGCAACTGATCAATTAATGCCACTACTGAGTCCACAGTGGACCAGATTTCAAATTCAAAATGTGCTGGCACTGACTATGCAAACTTACCAGAGTTGTAGTAGGAGCAGAAACAGTTGCTTTCAGATTACTCAGTTCCTGCTGGATTAATTTCTCTTCCTCCTGAAAAAATGAAAATATTTGAATGCATGAATAACCATCTTTTTAAACTGTAACAGTATTGTTAAAGGGAAACATATAACTTATAATATTTTCAATAAAAAAGAAACATTATTTTAAAGGAGAGTTACAAAAATTATGCACTTAAGATTTGCCTACAGGCATTTCTCCAACCCTCAGAATCATTCCTGGAAAGAATAAATATTTTCATGCTAACTCACCATTCCTCTTTTCTTCAGTCAATTACTGTCCCCTTAAGGACGGGTTAGCAGAAAACAGTTTTTAAAAAAAATTAACAGTGGAGAGAAAGTAGAAAAGCAATTCTTTATGTAGTGGCCCAGAATAAGGTTCTCACACCTTCTCCTTCTTCATGGAATACAGAAACAGGGTAAGAAGGCAGAAACAGAAACTGTTCTTTTCCCCTTAAATTATATTCTTCTTCCCTATCCTTTTTTCCTTATTCTTTGCATCCTTTCCCTCACTTCCCATCTCTCTCTCACACACACAGAATAAATACACTGATATAGTTACTTCTACTGTCTGCATTGTATTTCACTTCCTTGAGCACTTGAAAATTGACCCCAATTTTGACAAATATCATGCTATCTTTAAATTACACATTGAATTAGCAGGTGCCCATTAGGTGACTAACCAAGAACTAACAATGCTAGGGAAGTAATGCTACATTTAGATACCTTAATTACAGTTTCAAACTGCAGTTTAAAACCAAAAGTATTGGGCTTCCCTGGTGGTGCAGTGGTTGAGAGTCCGCCTGCCGAGGCAGGGGACACGGGTTCGTACCCCGGTCCGGGAGAATCCCACATGCCGCGGAGCAGCTAGACCCGTGAGCCATGGCCGCTGAGCCTGCGTGTCCGGAGCCTATGCTCCGCAGTGGGAGAGGCCGCAACAGTGAGAGGCCCGTGTACGGCAAAAACAAACAAACAAACAAACAAAAAGTATTTTATTTCATTCAGCCACCTCATAAAAACTAGCAAAGGACAAAATTTTAAGACAAGCAATATCAAGTCTACAAATAATTGTTTTTTTGTGATTTTTGAATGTGAAGCAGATCCTCCCCAGTACATCATCTTATTTCAGTTTAAAAAAGAACGTTTTTAAACCCTCAGAGCACTTTGAAGAAAAACCTTCTCTCTTTGTCTTTTCTTCTCTCCTGACACATATTTCATTGTATACTGCTTACAGCTGTCTTAAGCCCAAGATGAAGGACCAATTCCTTGGGAAAAGGAAATGTGTTTTACGCTGTTTCTTTAGGGTCTAACACATAGTCTCTTCCACAAATATCTTTTGAACAGATTTTGACCTACCACATGATCTTTTTTTAAGATACAAAATCCCTGAAGCTTTGAAAAGTCTGTGGGAACTTAAAAGCTTCCATTATAACTGCTCGTTTTCAAAGCCCACCTGAGGCAGAGACTTACTCAGCAAATACTGCATTTGGGGAGAATTATGCTTTTTCTTTGCCCAACCCGTAGGTCTAACCTAAGAACCTCAAGCTCCCCAAACATACTGAACAACAGGTTCAAATGGCAGGGTCTGTTCTAGTGTATGACATCTAGCAGTTGAAAGAACCGGGAGCCAGAAGAACCCTAGTGCGAAAGAAACTTTTTAGAAGAATAATGCTGACATTTCCACAGCACCTGGTAGTTTCACACGCTCGATGTCCTATCTAACTCTCGAAACAACCTATGAAATATGTATTGGTACTCCGTTATGTCAATGTTCAAGAAACACACGGAAGCTCAAAGATTAAAGATACCTGCCCCAGATAATAATGAGTCAGTATCAGGGCCAACCGTGGAAACCCGGCCTCCCAGCTGTCAGTCCGGGCAGCAAAGTGACGCTTCCGGACAGACGCCAGGACCGACAGACACACACGCCTCACGGCCAGCCCCGGAGGCTCGCCGCCGGACCGGTGCCTCCCAGCGAGGGGGCCTCCCCGAGGCGCCCCTGACCTCCCGGCCCGGATAACACCTACATGCTTGGAGGTGAGCGCGGTGATGCCGCGGACCAGGCCGCCCAGTCGGGAGGAGAAGGACGCCTTGGCGGTCGCGGGCCCGCTAGCCGACTGGCTCTGCAAGAAGAGTCCCGGCAGCGCCGTCAGCGTCTTCTCCACAATGTCGCTCATCGCCGCCGCCGCCACCCGCGTTCCGGTCGCCGCCCGGCCTCATGCCCAGGCCCTGCCCCGCCGCCTCCCCGGCCTCCGTAGGCACTTCCTGTTTGTCTGAAAAAGAAATCTTTATTCGCGTTCTGCGCGGACAAGCACAGTGTCGTTCCAGAGAGACGCCGCGGGAGGGCGCGAGAGTCCGCAAGCGAAAGACAGCGCGCCAAGCCTGTGTGGACGTGGTCCTCCTGTGGCGGAGCACAGGGCCGGACGCTCCCGGTTTCGATGGCAACCCCTGCGTCCCGAGCTTCTCCTCCTGAGGTAGCCGCTGCCGTCTGTCTTTCTCATATACTTCGGCCGCAAAAGTCTCCCTTTCCCTTTGGCCGCCTCCGCGCTGCCCGAGACTGCACGGGGAGGTGGACATTCCTAGCCCTCTCTTGGCGGCCTCTCACTGACTGGGGGACCACCGGCAATCCGCCCACCTCCCTCGGCCGCGCTCGGAGGGGCGGAATCGATGCTGGGCCCCGGCGCCCTGCGCGGCTCTGGCCCTGGCGGTGCCGGGGACCCTGGTGGTGTTGAATGACGGCGCGGCAGTCCTGTGGATTCATCCTACTGGGTTCAGCGCCCGCCGCGTACGGGGCACTCTTGGCCACTGTCTCTTCCCCTCCGGCCCCCTTCTCCTGGGGTTTGGGGAGGCAGCCAGGAAGGGGAAGTGGTCGGTTGGCCACCCCCCCGCCCCCCAGACCCCCTGCTCCTGCCCAGCAGGTCGCAGTCCTATCCTCTCACAGCACTGTTCTTTGCCATTCCAGAACTGACGGCAGTTGCCACTACATAAATATGTATCTCCCTGTCTTATTCATTGCTGTCACCTCAGCTTCCATCTAGAACAGAATCTAGTGCAGTGCTTTTGAGAATGTGGTCTGGTGAGTTCTGAAGGATACCCTAACAAAGGATCCAGGAAGTCAAAATTATATTCATAATATTACTTAAATGTTTTTTGTTGTTTTCACTCTTATCCTCTCCAGAGCATATAGAGAAGTTTTCAAGATAGAGAACTTAGAACCTCTCAACTGACTGATGAAGTGTGTGCTTGAGTACTACTCTTGTATTTTATAGATTCGTCTAAGGTTTAGGGTATAAGTTTTCAGTTTAATTCAGTTTGTCCTCAGTACTTCTAGTGTGTTCTTACAAACTATCTTTATGATGAAATAAAAATTCATATTTTAAGGCAAGATGAGAAATTAAGACATAAAATTTTTCTCCGCCCATTTGGGCCTCCTCTCTCCCCTCTAGTGTTCATTGTGCATCTGCATCATGCATTAACCAGACTTCCCCAGTGGCAGAAGTATCTGCTCAGCTGTAAAGATCAGTTTTCCTTCTTCTGGCACCAGCCATGTAACTCTTAGAAGATAACATTCCTTTCTCAATCCTGTAAGGGGTCACAATGCTCCACCACTCACCTTGTATGTGCAGACAACTTTGGTGGACTTTATGTATAATGCCAGTATATCATTTCCCTTAAAGATAGCAGGTGGTGCACAACAGGCTGGTCAGATAACCTGGGCCACACCTAGTGGAAGTTCTTAGCTTAAATATTTACTTAGAATGTTACTTGTATTCCACGTATTTTATAAGATTATTGTTTTTTTGCATCACCAAATGTGTGGCTGAGCCTCAGATAAAATTAATGATGATTAGGTGATTTGAAACTATTGGTCAAATATATAGTCCTATAAGATCAATGATCTTAATAGTGTAACTCCTAATATGGGAAGAAGCAACAAGAGGGAACCGTTTCCTGGACCGTAACAGACGAGTAAGACAGGCAGTACAGAGGCTTTTGATTACTGTTAACAGGGCCTAGTCCAGTAATAGCACAGTGAGGGGCATATCAATGAAATCCTTGCCTGACCTGGGAATGAGCATTCCTAGCACCATGGGACAAATTGGTCATGAAATGACTCCCAAACCTTGGTCAAAAGTAAGACCAAAAGGGAAGGGATTGTAAAATAAAGAATGTTACCTATCATCCAGTTATGCAAAAATCAAGTCATTAGCCACTATAGTTGCTGACCTACAATATACCCTGAAAAGAATTCAGCATGAGGCACTTTGTGCTCTGGAAAACTGACAGAACTGGCCCTCAGATAGTTAGATATTTTTAGGAGAAAATTTTATGAACCCAGCATCTTCCTATACTTAGAAAAGCACTAAAACCATTAACTAATATATCTGTTCCTCACAAATAGCAGTAACCTTCTACCAAGGTGAATGAATGCTTGATTGCACATACCCCTACGCCAAAGTCACATATACTACTGGCCTCCCCCTCTACCTCTTCAGAACAGTTCTCAGAGCTCTCTGAGAGACTGTCTCCCAGGTTGTAATCCTCAGTTGGCTCGAATAAAAGTTTCCATTTCTCCCTAAGAAAGAATTTTGTCGACATTCATTTATACTTATCTCTCCTCATTTAATCATCTAATAAATGGTATTTTGAAATCCCTAAATTCTCCTTGTGCCTATGTAGAAACACAAGAAAAAAGTTCATTTTGTTTACTTGTTTTGCAAGAATATTTTTAATTTATTGAAAACTTTTCTAAATATTTAAATTTTTTCTAAAACTGTTACTTTTTAGAATTTAATCTTTTATTCTAAAATAAAATTTTGTTTATAATTTTTTTTTATTTTAGATTCTTTCATTGATTCACAAGAGGGAGATTAGAAGACCTGCTTTCTCAATCTCCCACATCTAAAGATGCTGAAAAATGTGATATTGACATCAATATCAGAGGATTCTGACTCAGGTAAAGGGAATAATCTGGGTGAAACTGTAAATAAGAAAGGAAAATGTGACAAAAGCTTATTTCTTTTCCTTGATGTTAGAGATGTTAATGATTTACCTTATTTTGTCTTATTCAACAGAATATTTTCAAGCACTATTATGGTGCCAGGTAGGTTGAGGCATCATTTTGAGACCAGTCATTCGAGTTTAAAGAAAAGGGAATTGAATATTTAAAAAATAATAACCTAAAAAAAATAAAAAATTAGAAAACAATAAAAAATTAAAATGATAACCTCTTTAAAAACCAAAGCTTTTTTTGTTACCACTTTTCAAAGTAGAAATGAAAAACCAGCTGAGGCATTTTACAGGTTAAATTATTGTATTGCATTGGCTGGAGAAGGGCATACGATAGCTGAAAGACTAATAAAGCCTGTACATTACTGAGTGAATGTCTGCTAGATGAAAAATCAGTCAAAGAAATCATGGCAGTGCTGTTTTCCAAAGATGCAGTAACTCACCAAATTAGAAATTCCGTTGCAAACATAAAGACTGAGTGAATATCCTATCTGCAAAATTATACTGTCTTTAAGATGGACAAAAATTATATAATTATAGATGTAGCTAGTCTTGTTGCTTTGCTTGTATCTGTCAGGTGGCAGCACCAGCTAATACTTGAAGATCTATATTAATGCCTGGCAATAAACTAAAGTGATGCTGAAATAAAACATTGTACAATTTTTTTTTTTATCTCATAGTTTATTCTGGAACAACTGTGCTGATATTTGCACTAATTGTATAAAAGCAATACTGGGCAAAACTGCTGGCACCTTGGCACAAATCATGGCAGAGGCTCCCAACTGTACTCTTCACCACTAACACTCACATTTAAAAAAAAAAAAAAAAGCCAGTTTCACAAAAGAATATCTTTAATGAAGCAGTAAGAATTTTTAATTTTATTAAATATCAACCCTTGAGTACATTTCTTTTAAATACTGTGTGTGACAAAATGGGGAGTACACATAAAGCAGTTCTGACATGTAACCAAGCTTTCTCAAGGAAAAGCACTGGTGCAGTTTGACTTGAAAGCTGCACCAGCCACTTTTCTTCAAGGAATACAATTTTTTTTTTTTTTTTTTTTTTTTGCTGTACGCGGGCTTCTCACTGTTGTGGCCTCTCCCGTTGCGGAGCACAGGCTCCGGACGCACAGGCTCAGCGGCCATGGCTCACGGGCCCAGCCGCTCCGCGGCATGTGGGATCTTCCCGGACCAGGGCACGATCCCGTGTCCCCTGCATCGGCAGGCGGACTCCCAACCACTGCGCCACCAGGGAAGCCCTGGAATACAATTTTAATTGAAATAATTATTAACAAACAATGGCTTTCTTGAAAATGAGCAGTGAGTCTGTCGCCTCAAGAGAAATAACTGACAGTATTCATTACCACTAATAAAATTCAAACTTTCAAGAGTAAATTGGAATTTTGAAAAATGTGTATCTGCTATCAGGAGTCTGGTAATCTCTAATATGTAAGAACTGTTCTGACAAGATCAGTGGTGATATTAATGAATGTTATTTTTTGATAGTGTATAATTAAAAGTGTTAGTATTCAGAAGATCTGTATAACTCAATGAAACAATATTTTCCAAATGATCAATGCATGATGTTATAAAATTATGCATGGACTGAAGATCTATTTAAAATGAATATAGACCAATGATTTTAATGTAACCCTATATAAAAAGTTCACTGATATATTTTAAAATTGCAACAAACCTTTAAGAAACTACTGCTTGTTGAGTTTTGGTATGGTATCAAAGAAGAATATCCACAATTATTTGAAAAGGATATTAAAATACTCTTTTTTCCTGAACTACATATCTGTGTGAGACCTGGTTTTCTTCATAAACTTCAAACAACATACCAACCTGTGGTAGGCTAATACTGTCTCCCAAGGATATGGTCATATCCTAATCTTTGGACTTTGTGAATGTTATCTTATATAGTAAAACTTGCACAGATGTGATTAAATTAAGGATCTTGCAATAAAGAAGTTATCCTGGATTATCCCAGTGGGCCCTAAGTGCCATCATAAATGTTGTTATAAGAGAGAGGCAGGGCTTCCCTGGTGGCACAGTGGTTGAGAGTCTGCCTGCCAATGTAAGGGACACGGGTTTGAGCCCTGGCCCGGGAAGATCCCACATGCTACGGAGCAACTAAGCCCATGCACCACAACTGCTGAAGATCCCGCATGCCACAACTACGAGCCCACATGCCACAACTACTGAAGCCTGCACGCCTAGAGTCCGTGCTCCGCAACAAGAGAAGCCAGCACAATGAGA